ATGAAGTCATGATTTCAAATCAACGTTTTGACATGTGATTTTAGGATCATCATTTGAAATCATGACTTCAAATTTTATTTACTCCAAAAAGGATTTAACGATTTGAGATTTCAAATTATGATGGCATTTAAAAAAAAATGAAACATGAACCCTTAATTTATATTTTGTAAAAAAGAAGAAGAAAAGATCCACCATTTTTAATTTTGCAAAAATAAAATAAAATACCAATACTCCCCATGAAGAGATTGTCCATACCACATGAAAGAATTATAATAAAGATTAACTAGTTAATACTATTGTTGACTAGTGGATTTATATAAAATTATGTGTATTTGAAAGTTTGTGAAAAATCATAGATTAGCCCATGGATTTGGCACCTTGGGGCACCCAAAAAAAAATTCTGAAAAAACTTTATGAGGATCTCTGTGGTAAATTGGGAGATCATTAAGTATAGTCCTGCCATTTTTTATGGCATATTTTTACATTTACGAGCTAACTTTTAGAAATTATGTGACTTTATTAGTTTTTTGTGTGTATTAACCCATGGATTTGATGCATTTGGACACTCGAAAATGTTTTTTAAAAAAACTTGATGAGGATCTCCGTAATGAGTTGGGAGAACATTATGTATAGTCCCATCATTTTTAAGGTCTATTTTTACATTTACGAGCCAACTTTTAGGAATTACGTGACTTTCTTGGATTTCGGGTGTATTAGCCCATGAATAGGCGTCTTGGAGCACCTGAATTTTTTTCCAATTTTTTTTTACGTAGGACCTCTGTAATGAAGTTGGGGGAACATTACTTATAATCCCATCATTTTTTTAAAGTCATATTTTCGTATTTATGAGCCAACTTTTAGAAATTATGTGACTTTATTAGTTTTTTGTGTGTATTAACCCATGGATTTGATGCATTTGGACACTCGAAAATGTTTTTTAAAAAAACTTGATGAGGATCTCCGTAATGAGTTGGGAGAACATTATGTATAGTCCCATCATTTTTAAGGTCTATTTTTACATTTACGAGCCAACTTTTAGGAATTACGTGACTTTCTTGGATTTCGTGTGTATTAGTCCATGAATAGGCGTCTTGGAGCACCTGAATTTTTTTCCAATTTTTTTTTACGAGGACCTCTGTAATGAAGTTGGGGGAACATTACTTATAATCCCATCATTTTTTAAAGCATATTTTCGTATTTATGAGCCAACTTTTAGAAATTACGCGACCATGTTGATTTTCGTTGTAATAACCCATTGATCTAGTGCCTTGCAGGACCCAAATGTTTTTTCTGAAAAAAATATTATGAGAAATTCCGTAATGAGTTGGGGAACATAACATACAGTCCCACAATTTTTTAAGACATATTTTCACACTTACGAGCAAATTTTTGGAATTACGTGACTTTCTTGGTTTTTTATGTGTATTAGCCCATGGATCAGGCGTCTTAGGGCACCCAAAATGATATTATGAAATTTTTTTATGAGGACCTTCGTAATGAATTTGAGGAGCATTACTTATTGTCCCGCTATTTTTAAGGCATATATTTGCATTGAAGAGTCAACTTTTTGAAATTATGTGACTTTCTTGATTTTTTGTGTGCATTAGCCTATGGATCTAACGTCTTGGGGAACTTGGAATTTTTTTCTAGAAAAACTTTGTGAGGACCTCCGTAATGAGTATGTGGAGCATTACATATAGTCCACCATTTTGAATGCATATTTTTGTACGAGCCAACTTTTAGAAATTACGCGTATTTCTTGATTTTTTCGTGCGTATTAGCCAATGGATCATGCACCTTGGAGCACCTAAATTTTTTTCGGAAAAAACTTTATGTGGACCTATGTAATGAGTTAGGGAACCATCATGTATACTCACATCATTGTTCAACGTATATTTGTTTTATTTACATGTCATTTTTTAGGATTAACTCAAATGCTTCAGTTTTTCGTGTGTATTAGCCTATGGATATGACTATCCGGAGCATCCAAAAGATTTTTCTGAAATAACTTTATGAGGACCTCTTTGATGGGTTGGGGAACCATCGCGTATACTCACACAATTTTTAACACATATTTTCGCATTTGCAAGCCATTTTTTAGGAATAACCCAAATTTCTCAATTTTTTGTGTCTATTAGCTCATGGATCTGGTTCCATGGAGCTCCCAAAAAATTTGCTGAATTTTTTTTATGAGAACCTCTGTAATGAATTCGGGTACCATCACGTACTCACACTATTTTTAACGTCTATTTTTGTATCTACCCTTCATTATTTAAGAATTACTCAAATTCCTTCATTTTTTGTGTGTATTAGCACATGGATCTAGTTTCCTGGAACAATCAAAAAAAAAAATTCTGAAAAAGTTTTATGAGGACCTTTGTGATGAGTTGGGGAGCATCACGTATACAGACACCATTTTTTTAAAGCATATTTTTGCATTTACAAGCTATTTTTTGGGAATTACCTAAATTTCTTAGTTTTTCGTGTGTATTAGCTCCCCAAGGCACCCATGAGCTAATACAATTTCGTGTGTATTTTCTTGCTTTCGGCTTGCTTTTGGTCAAAATTTTCCATGAACGTCCATTACAAGCTTATTAATGGCGTGAGTTGGTCCCGAGGGGTGCATTTTCAAGTTTAATGGAGCCCCAAAGCAGGAAAAATAAGGTTTTACTGTTTTTAGTGTGCTTATAGTCCATCGACTTTTGGTGAGTCAGGATTTCGGCTTGTTTTTTGCTAAAATTTTTCATGAATGTCGTTACGACCTTATTAATGGCGTCAGTTGGTCCCTAGGGCAAACATGCACATTTTCAAGTTCAAACGAGCCCAAAAGAAGGATTTTTTTTTAGATTTTATTGACTTTTGTGCGATATAGTCCATGAATTTTTGGTGATTCAGGATTCCGTCTTATTTTTGGTCGAAATTTGCCATGAAAATCAGTTACAAACTTATTAATGGCGTGAGCTGGTCCCGAGGGGCAAACAAGTGAATTTTCAAGTTCAAACAAGTCTCAAAGCAGGAAAAATCAGATTTTATCGATTTTTGTGTGCTATTATAATCTATGAATTTTTGGTGATTTAGGATTCCGACTTTTTTTTGGCTGAAATTTGTTCATGGACGTCTGTTACGACCTTATTAATGGTATGAGTTGGTCACGAGGGGAAAACGAGTGCATTTTCAAGTTCAAACGAGCCCCAAAATAGGAAAAATTAGATTTTACCCATTTTCGTATGATATAGTCCATGAATTTTCGGTGATTCAGGATTCCAGCTTCTTTTTTATCGAAACTTTTTATGTACGTCCGTTACGACCTTATTAATGGTATGAGTTGGTCACGAGGGGAAAACGAGTGCATTTTCAAGTTCAAACGAGCCCCAAAATAGGAAAAATTAGATTTTACCCATTTTCGTATGATATAGTCCATGAATTTTCGGTGATTCAGGATTCCAGCTTCTTTTTTATCGAAACTTTTTATGTACGTCCGTTACGACCTTATTAATGACATGAGTTGCTCACGAGGGGTAAATGACCGCATTTTCAAGTTCAATCGAGTCCCAATGCCGGAAAAACTAGATTTTACCGATTTATCTATGCTATAGTCCATATCCCATTGATTGTGTTTCCCGGGTCACCTATATTTTGTTTCTGAAAAAACTTTATGAGGACTTCTATATTGATTTGGGGAACCATCATGTATACTCACATCATTTTTTAACGCACCTTTTTTGTACTTACATGTTATTTTTTAGGAATTTCATAAATTTTTCAATTTTTTGTGTGTATTCGCCTATAGAACTTGAGTCGCCGCTAAACATACATAAGTCGCTACTAAAAGGCTGTATTAGTGACAACTATAATCGCCGCTAAAAGATATATAAATTGCTACTAAAAGACTGTATTAGTGACAACTATAATCGCCGCTAAAAGATATATAAGTCGCTACTAAAAGACTGTATTAGTGACAACTAGAATCACCGAAAGATATATAAGTCGCCATTAAAAAGTCTGTATTATTGGCAATTATAATTGCCGCTAAAACATATGTAAGTCGCCACTAAAAGATTGTATTAGTGACAACTAAAGTCGCCACTAAAACATATATTAGTCGCCACTAGAAGTAATTATTAGTGACAACTAAAGTCGCCGCTAAAACATATATAAGTCGCCACTAAAAGTCAGTATTAGTGACAACTAAAGTTGTCGCTAAACATATATAAGTCGCCACTAGAAGTAATTATTAGTGACAACTAAAGCCGCCGCTAAAAGAAGTATTAGTGACAACTAAAGTCGCCACTAAAAGAAGAATTACTGACAACTAAAGTCGCCGTTAAAACATATAAGTCGCCACTAAAAGTTAATATTAGCGACAACTAAAATCGCCGCTAAAACATATATAAGTTGCCACAAAAAGTCTGTATTAGTGACAACTATAATCGCCACTAAAACATATATAAATAAGTCTCCACTAAAAGTCAGTATCAGTCACAACTATAATCACCGCCACTAAAAGAACGTATTAGTGACAACTATAATCGCCACTAAAACATATATAAATAGTCTCCACTAAAAGTCAGTATCAGTCACAACTATAATCACCGCCACTAAAAGAACGTATTAGTGACAACTATAATCACCGCTAAAACAAGTATATGCCTTCTGTAATGAATTAGGGGAGCAGTACATATGGCGTTTGCTCATTTGATAATATTGTATAAGAATTGAGAGAGAACTTTATAATTTTCACATCTTGTGATGTTTTCATGTTTATAAGAAATTCAAATGATATGCCGAACACTCATATTGCATGGTCAAACGAGCATACTTTTTCAGAAGTATTTTGGAGAAAGTACTTTAAAAAAAAAAACAGGTTTGACCTCCCAAAAGACTTTCCAAGTTACGCCTTTTCCAAATTTAGATGTTTTACGAAACATGTAAATAAGTTAAAAATACTTGTAAGCTATCTTACCAAATTCTTACTTTATAAATGGTATTGAACTATGATATACCACAGACAACTGATCTTATTAAGCAACTATTAGTCTATTTTCAATGTAGAACTATTGCAGACTTCTTTCAAGTTGTTCTGTACAAATCAATTGCAGCTTTAACCATTTCAACGTATAATGAAAAATTGCCTTTAACATCTACGAACAACCAATAGCCAATAACCTGAACATAGCCGATGCAAGCTATGAGATCTTTGTACACCTAACAATTAACAAAACTGTATCTGGAAGATTGAGCCTTTCGACGTTTCAAGAGGGGTCTCAAATTCTTCTGACCATTACTGATTGCTTCTGAACCTCCATCCCATGGGACTTGGCAGCCACTATCAGAAATTGCAAGCATTCAGCATTTATTCCACCTTCTTATCCTAATCAATCAAAAGATCCAATTGTTAAAAAGGTCACATCCAAGAGTAAATAATATTTTTGCATTACACAAATAACTTTAGAATTTCTTATCGGAGATGCTCAAGTCTATAAGAATGTGAGGAAACATGGAAACCACAAGTCGGAAAACTCTGTTACTGCTGCCAATAGCTGAAGCAGCAATAGAGGATCTGAATGTGACGTCCTCAGACGTCAAAATAAAACTATGAGAATGTCCAGTGCTGCGTAAAGAAAGATTTGCTAAAGTAATACCTCATTCACTTACTAGAAGTCAGGTAAATAATACTCTCTAAGTTTGATTGTTTTCACGACTTCTTGTTTCGTATAGCATCTCAAGATAATGATACTATATGATAATTTACCAAACTAGTTGTCAAGTGAACTATCATATTGGAAATGAAATGTGTTCAGATATATATAAAATAAAAGGTTGTGTTAAAAAGATGCATTTTCAATTATTTCTAGTTGTCCATTCCTTAGTTATTTGGAACGCTTTGCTTTTCCCACAAAATTTTGACTTGAACTGCCTTTTTTACCTGCATTGTAGGCAATCCCATCCATAAATTGTTCCAACACCATCCCTTTCTAAGTTACCGACCCAGAAAGAATGGTTAAATCATCCTTTAGAAGAGTTTGAATTCACCACACTGTTAACTCGCATTCTATCTGGTGAACACTAAAGCATGCAAGATACAGAAGAAATCACATTAGACAACGAAAAAACTGGCATCAATACAACCTAAGAACAACAAGCTTAGGCAACATGCCATGCATGTAGTTATTAACATCCCTCCCTATTCTTCTCAAACACTTGAAATGCATATTGATATCAAAAGTTTTACCCAATCAACTGACCGGAAGACAGATTCTTTACTCAAAGACAATTAGGGGCACTAAAATGTTTCAGAGGGAAAAATTCTTCATTTGGAAATGCATGATATTTGCACACCACAGTGTAAAGAGAAAGAGGGACAGCCACCATGACAATTAATTTTCTCCACCCTCAGCCACCCAGCTCCCAACTCATCCAAAAACAAAGGGACAAAAAAAGAAAAGAGAAGAAAAAGGAAAAGATGCGACTTACTGTATCCTGTGAACAATCTTTGGATGCATGTGATATCTCATTAACAGTTGAATCACTGAACCCATTACTTGTATCATGCTTCTCTTTGTTGAGTGCAAACTGAAGCTGCTTCTCCACAGACTTAAAGATAGATGTCCGTTTAGACCTTAATCGATATGGAGGAGAGGCATTAAATGCTTGACTGTTGTACAGACCACCATTGAAAGAATTTCTTGAAGAAACTCCATTATGCATGCTAGATTTGTGTGAGCTGTCATATTGGATCTCGTCACACGCATCAATTGGTTTTTCCCTACAGAGATCTCCATCTGACTTCCCCATTTTATTAGTTGGCGTTGAAAGTTCACCTTGAGTCTTTCTTTTCCTTAATATGGAAGGTGTATTTGGGAAGCTTCTAGCAGCAATTCTCAGTACAGATTCAGGAGTTTGTGCACATAGGCTACGGCCCTTTGTACTAGGTGGAGTGAAGAAACCATTTGGTGATGGGCTTGGACTTGCATCAGATTCACATTGTGCCCGGCAGATATTTAGAAGATCTGAATCCAGCGGAATACAGCTTTCTGACCTTGGTGGTTCATAGCATAACATACCACATGTAGGGATTTCACAAGGAAATGGTGCTTCAAAAACTTGTAATCTGCCTACTGCACTATCTATGTTCCATCCTTCATACCTGTTTTCTGATTGAGTACTTGGTTTGATGTGTTGAATAGCATCTTCTTCTGGTGACTGAGATTCCAACCTGACGACTTCAGAATCAGTGGACTCAGTTTGAGGACCACCATTGGAAGCACTGATTTCTGCCACCTGCCATCCATTTTCTATTTTACATGTATCTGTAGTTCCTGATGAAGCTACTTCAGCTCCTTCTAATGTTTTATTTGACCAAACTAGCAACTCTTCAGCTTTAGCTGTTCCAGTAGAAGGTGGAAGATTTCCAGTAGCTACATAAAAGTCTAACTTCTTCTTCAAGGAGCTGTTCCAATGATTCTTGATACCATTATCAGTCCTGTATAAATTAGGCCCGGGAATGAGCAAGATTTGAAGTGAAGAGACATAGGGTACTGTGAATTGATTCAACACTAGTGAATTCCTTTATAGGCTTATAATTGCAGTCACACAAAGTTTAGAGTTAACTTCAGTAGCTAGCCAAAGTCAAGACCAGTCTTATTTTCTCTACTCGTTGGGACATAGACAACCCATGAAAAAGGTTATCCACTGATAACTAGGGATGGCAATGGGGCGGTGGTGGTGGTGGGGGGGGGGGGGGGGGGGGGGGGGGGGTTGAGCTTAACCCGCAAAATTTTTAATTTGCCCCGCCCCACCCCGCATCACAACTTATTTCATTTTCAACCCACCCCGGATGAACCCACCCCGCATAATTTTTTTAATATTTTCTTTTCCTAGTTAAGTTTGATACTAAAAATAAATTCAATTTTTCATTAAGTTATATTAACTTAATAGGAATAGGATACTGACTTGAAAAAATATTTTTTAGAGGTCCACTGGAAACATGTAAGAAATTGTATTATTTTTTATTGAACCATTTTCATTTACTATCTTGAATATTTTAGTAGCTTTAAAGGTATTATCTTAATAAGTAATGTTCTATCACTCTTGTAACATGTAGAAAGTTAAAATTAAGTTTGAACCCACATGAAATCACATATACCCGCGACCCGCCCCGCACAACCTTAAACCCGCTCCACCCCACATAGCCTTAAACCCACACCACCCCGCATCCACCCTTAAACCCACACCGCCCCACATCCACCCCACCCTATTGTCATCCCTACTGATAACCTTTTAAATGGCGGAAAAGTCTTGCTTTAACTTCATTAGCTAGCCATCTTAAGAGCCAAACTCAAGGCCAATGATATTTTCTCTACTCATTTGAACATAGACAACCCGTATAATCATTGGGGCAGACATAACTTAGATAAAAGTAATTTCCCATATAGCAGTAAAGTTAACAAAACATTACGTTCTTAGCCCTTGGTCCTCAGCCTTAACAACTAAAACTACCCTCTACAATCATTTAGCACAAGACTGATGATATGACATAGTTACATGAAGCCATGTGCTTTATAAACTTATAGATGAGGTCTTTGGAGTATGGCGGGGCCCCAAGTCACATTGGACAATTAGAAGCATCAGCCACTGTCTTAATAAGCTTATTTCATTAGCTCTTTGATAGTGGCATTTTTTTCAGCCGAAAGGAAGAATAATTGACCAGAAGCTTCCGATACAATCTTCAGGAACCTTTTGTACTCCCTCTATCCCAAAAGGACTACTGGTTCAAGAGTTTAAGGGTCAACCCTTGTAATCTTTTGGGATGATTTCTCACATCAAGTGCTTGATCTTTGAAACAATTTTTTTACATATTACAAGCTATATAGAAGTGTACTATAAACCACACTTTTTAGAAGTTATAAATATTTAGGAAATGTTCGACTAAACCATAGTCAAAGAATCTACTAACATATTACGGGATCAGATAATTTTTAATCAGAATGCTTCAATATGGAAGCCATTCAGAGCTTTTCTCTTTATTCAACTGAATGAAAAAACTATCAATTCTTCTCTTTAGATTATCTTTATGCTGAATTTATTACCTTCCTGGCAGAACTTTAGCAATTTCAGCCCACTTGTTACCATGGATCCGATGAGCATCTATAAGCGCCCGTTCCTCCTCCAGAGTCCAAGCATCTTTTTTGATATTGGGATTCAAATGATTGTGCCATCTGATCAAATTAAAAGCAATAACCATTAACCCATAACAACCAACCAAATAGTAGGCTGTATTATCCGACAAACTGTTAGACAATCAAAGACAAGTGGCTAAAAATGAACTTGAGAACAAGGACATCACTATGAATCAGAGCCTCGTGAACACAAAGCACTTGTATCGGGAGTAAGATGGATAGACACGCACTACTGAAGCTATAGCACTTACAGCTAACAACAGAAGGGAAGTTGTCGGCAGATAGTCTTACTAAGTTGGGCAATAAATCAACAGAAGGCAAAGCTGGTCGTAAAACAATTCATTGATACAAGAGCTTATTCAGTGGAATCATAGCAAAGACAGTGACATTACATGTGTATATATATATTTAAACTGTTTCTGATCCTACCTCTCACGACACTGCTTCCCTATTCGACCAGTCAATGATTTAGCTATGACAGACCATTTTATAGGCCCATACTTAGCAACCAGTTCAATGATCTTATCATCCTCCTGTTAACAAAAAGTCAAAAAGCATCAGGAATCATCCAGAGAGTCCAGGCACAATTCAGATTATCAGATTAACGCAGAGGGAAACTAAAAAGTAGGAAGCAAACAAACCTCCCGAGTCCAGGGTCCTTTAACAAGTTCTGGATTGATGACCTTCTGCCAGCGATGCAGACATTGCACTTCCGATCTATCCGGGAAGAACTCAGCTGCAAGTGAATCAATATTTGGCTAAATTTACATTTTCATATGAGTGGATAAAGTGTGTCACCCCATGAATTCGATAAGGATCTATCACATACAAGATGATAGCCACTTGGACTGACTTACAAATTGGTCAAAAAAAGTTAAAAGACTTCAGAGATCAACAAAGTTAAAATCTATCCTTTGATACAAGGCTATAATTTCCTGCTACCAAGCACCCAAGAAACTAGGATTCAAATCCTAACAGAGACAAAAAACACTAGATGATTACTTCTCATCTAACTATGTCTTGGTGAACAGAGTAACCCAATACCTATGTTGATGGAAGGTAGCAGTAGCCGGATAAATCTAGGACTCTAGGTGTGTATAAGCCGACCTGAAAACTACCACTATGGAATTTATTTTTATATAAAATTCTAGCCAACAACTAGTAATCTAAGTTGAAAGAACATCAATATTCGGAAAATGGGTGCTTGGTAGCAGTTAGTTAATCCTCTTGTATTTTTCCTCGCCATTAACAGAGCTCCATCATAAAATGGGTGCACACTGCATATCCAAATTTTCCAAAAGAAAAGGTCCAAATTTACCCCTAAACTTTTGACTAGGGTTTGAAATCACCTTCAGATTGGAGCTTTATTAAGGACCAAGGGAAATAATGAGACTTTTTCCTAAATGGCATGGTAAAACCAAACCAAAAGTCTAATGGAGGGCAAAGTTTCTGAATTTCAAATAGTACATGGGCAAATTTGACCCCTTTTCCCTATCCAAATTGCATAAACAAATGCCTAGATCCAAGCAACCAAAACATATAAGTAATGATATGCATGAATATATTGACTTGGCATGTCATCAAAGATGCACTAAGAACATTATGGCACCCAGACATACATCCAGCAAAGTTCATATGGCAATATATTCATGACTAAGACCAAGCACTGATCAAGTGCATTGAATATCATCATCAAATAAGTCATATAGCAATATTTCCACATCAGACACCTATTCAATTCAAAGCATCTCGACATGTCAACGTGAACGAAGTTGCCTCCTTAGAAGCTAACACTTGCAGCACGATATTGTCCTATTTGTTATTGTTAGAAAAGAGCTAGCTAAGAGATAATACCTATTTTCTTCCAACATTTCCCTCTGTAAACTGAAACAGCCCTTTTCAAAGTATCATCCTGCAGCAAAGGAGATTTTATCTAATCAATACGTAGTTCCAAGGAGCAAAACCAAAAGCTGAACTTTCTATTTAAAACAAAAGAAGCAATTATAAAGAAATTCCAACTGGTATAGAATAACAATGATATTGAGGGAGTGAGGAATGTGCAAGCATCAAGAATTGTACATTCACAACTCATTATGCCAAAATCAAACTGTTCTAGTATTCTCCTTTTACTAGTAACAGCAAGTAGTATTCACAGTCGAAAACTTGAAAATTTATAAATCGCGATAACCTAGCTTAGGATTTTAAGCTATTGAGATATCTCGCAGAAGAGATTATTCATTAGAAATATAAAGAATTATTTTCACCTCCTCAGGAGTCCAACCACCCTTTGCTCGCCTTATTGGACCAGTGGTTCTCCTGCAAAATCCACACAAACAAAGCAGAAAGTGTATAATTTTAAATTTCCATCCAGGACTTGAGAATTAGCACAAAATACATGATATCACAGAATCCCTATCATTGAGTAATTTGCTTCAAGTGATTGTCTGTCTGATTTCGCTGGGTTACAACAGATAGTAGAAGGCGCAAACCACTTAGCTACTTTTGGATATTGTTGACCAGGACAATTTCAGTAATATTTCTACTAATAAGCTTGATAGTTTGGCAAAATTCAATCACTTTCTTATATCTCAAAAGTGGATTCCACTCAGTTTGCTCTTGTTCACAACATTCAACTATGCCTCCATTACAAATTCATTAGGGTTGGGGATAATGAACTCTCTACATGCACCAGCTCTGTTCAAGTTCATTATTCAGAGGATTCATCATAGTTAAACACTTAAACTAGTTATTAAATGTTGATTGACAACCTACTCCAATTATCTTCCCTTATGCTCACGCGGACACTGCTAGATCTAATCTTATCCATAACTGATCTAAACTAAGGCATAAAAACAACAATTAACTATAATGAAACAACATGCTCAGAGATACCATTTTGGAAGATCCCAAACTTTCAGCCGAAATACTAAAAGAAATAATCATGAATTTTTTTTGAAATTGCAAATAATCATGAATTTTGTTATTGTTGAAAACCAAATATCAACCCAACTTTACAAGGTTCAATTCTAGTTGTTACCCACCTAAACAAATTTATCTCCATTATGCTCAGCATAACTGATTCACTACTATATTTTCCTTACATACTTGATGTTATCATGCTTTACTTGAGCTGAACCTTCATCACAAGGTAGGGTTACGATTGCATACAGCACACACCACCCTACCTAGCTAAACAAATTTAGCAAAGTAAGAAAAAAAATTACCTGTGAGTTGGTGATGCAGGGGTTGGGCTAGATACTGCTGGTGACCTTAAAGTAACACTACCACTATTTTCAGAAACCGACGAACTCGAAGCAGCAGCTGATTGCTTATTCTCAGTACAGCACTCTTCTACTTTCAATTCATCCATTTTCCTCTTACCATAACCTTTACGATAACCAATTGAATCCAATAATCAGCAAACCAATAAAAAAAACCTTCAACAAATTCGAAGAAAACAAATACCCAACTAAGTAAAACTCCTAATAATCCCAATAAGTAACTTCGCAATACAATTACTTGGAATCAAACAATCCCAGATCCCACAACCCCATCTTCGTATCAAATTAAAAACAACCCAATCCCAAAACTCAACACCCATCAAAAAAATAACCAAAACCCAATTCAAATTAACCAAAATCAAGTTGAATTAAATGAAATCAAAGCTAAAATTGATCATAAACCAGTCATAGATGCATAAAAAACCAAACTTTTCACGAAATTTGAAGAATTCAACAGTAAACAAACCTCAAATTAGCAGAAAAATGACAAAAAATCAGCTAAAATTCATCGAAGATCGAACCCTTTGAACCCCAAAAAGAAAAAAAAAATCTTAAAGAGTTGCTAGTGAGAGAAATTGAGAAAACCTTTGCCCGTTGAACGACACAAAAAGTAAATATTATTAAAAAAAAATGTTTTTTTGTACATAACGAATATATGGAGAAAGGGTAATTGACGGCGCCGTTAATTTGTCGTTAAGTTTTTGTGCTGTTGGAGATGGAAAGGCTGTGAAAATGGTTAACGGCGTTAACGGTTTTATTGTGGGTACGTTAGGAGACAAAAGTTTGAACATCAAACGGCACACTTTGAGGGATTAATAAATGTGGTGTTTACCCTTCCCGGGCAATTCTTGACCGTTAGATTAGAAATGAGTGGCGGAGATTTAGCGGAATATGGCTTTATAGATTCAGATTCGATAAAATTCAATAGATTTTACTCAAATATTATGATCAGCATATGATATAAATGAGAGAACCTCTGAACTTCGCGTAAATTGTTAGTTTCGTGTCCGAACTATTGACAATTTTAAAAGGGAAAAATGACAAATATACCCCCGAACTATCGTAAATGGTATGCAGATACCCTCTGTCATATTTTTGGGACATTGATGCCCTTGTCGTCCAAAAATTAGAGCATATATGCCCTTTACTCTAACGGAAGACTGAATAGGGACATGTTTCGCAATCTTATCCGTCGATCCGATATTTAATTAACTGTCGGATCAGTGGATAAGATTATGACACATGTATGTTTGTTAGTATAAAGGGTATATATGATCTAGTTTTTGGACGGCATGGGCACCAATGTTCCAAAAGTATGACGGGGTACCTGCATACCATTTACGATAGTTCAGAAGTATATTTGTTTTTTTTTTCAATTTAAAAGCACTCTTCTACTTGATTAACTAAATTTAGATACCCCTAATTTGCTACATGACATAGTAAATGGTCTCAAACTCTTGTAGGAGTATGAGACTTCTTAATAAAAAATTGAGAGAAATGTTGAAAACACCTCTAAACTTGATGAGAATTTAAGTGTGTATTTCATTGATATTGTAGGATCGGGGGTATATTTAAGTTCAGTTAATCAAGTAAATAGATGTTTTTAAAGTTATCATCAATAGTTCGAGAAGGAAACAAATTATTCACGCCAAATTTAAAAGTGTTTTTAATACTTCTTCTATATAAATTACTCCAAAATCATAAGTTGATCATCACAATTTGTGAATTTTAGCTTATGAACATTTTTATTTGACCAAGTATGTGCTACTTTCCCCCCTTCTAATTCATACTCCCTCCGTTTAAAAAAGAATGACCTCCTTTCCTTTTTATTCTGTTTAAAAAAGAATGACATCTTCCCTTTTTTGGTAACATTTTAAAACTTTGTGCCAAGTCAAACCATGTTACTCTTTGTGAAACGGAGGGAGTAATATTTTTCTCATAACAAAATGCCTATATTCCCCTTCATTTTATTTGAGCGTATTTTAATCATTTTAACGGGAAAAAAAATTATTTTTTTTATTAAACACATCAATTGTTTATTACCAGTTTTAACACTTATATCGAAGCATTATTACTACAACTATAATATATTCAATGCAATTCTATAAGTGAGTTTTAAGAAAGTGTCGTGTGTACACATGTTTTATCACCTACCTATAGCAAAATTATTTTTACTCAAAACGCAACTATTTGTGTAATCAATTTTAGGATTTAAAGCTTATAGACTATTTACTATATTAGTTAATCCAAACAGACTTTTTATTAAGAAAAAGAAGTATTTAATATATATTTTACTTAAAATTCAATAAACAAAAAGATTTATGATTTAGAATCTATATTCAATAAATATAATTTAATTTGTTTGTGATGAAAAAGTCTTAGGTGTTTATCCCTCTCTCAAGGGAAAAAATTTAAAAGCATTTATTAATGTTAGGTTCGTATTTCTTTTGCTAAAGGAGTAATAAATTCACGTGGGCAGAAATATATTGCTTCAATACAAGCGATCGCCAAATAATGTTTTATATCATACTTAGATTTCTTGCTTAATGAATTACAAATGAGTGATCTCATATATACACTCGTCACCTAGTGTGTAAATAATATTTCCTCTGTCCCAATTTATGTAAGACAATTCAAATTTCGAGACTTGTTTGAATCTCAAAAAATTTTAAAATGTCACATAAATTAGGACCGAGTTCCTCATTCTCTAGATTCTTCTATGACTTTTTTTGGGGAGTTTTCCTAGCAAATCAACAATGATTTATAGTCTTCCTAAGGAAAACCTTCCAAAGCTTTAGAATATTTCACCAAGTACTAGGCTACTATACATGCTAGCCTCCTGCGTGACAAAATATGCGTCAAATGGGAGTGTTTTGAACCTAAACTTGCCCTAACTCACACTTCTTGAAACTTACATATAGCTTGACGTGGTACCAAAGCAGGCAAAACTCGATGTTGATGCAGCCCATAGGTATCACGTTCATCAGAACTAAGTAATTTCAACAACAATAGCATACCAGTGAAATTCCTACAGGTGGGGTGTGTGTACATCGACCTTACTCTACCTAATGGAGGTAGTAAACCCAGTATTTGCAATGCAGAGCATAAATATACATGTGAAACCTCACTAGAATTTCAGCAAACTCTATATGCGAACCCATAATTTAAAAGTACAATGATTTCAGTGTTAAAAACCTTAAAGGTCGAAACTAGGGGTGTTCACGGTTTGGATAAAAATCGATCCAAACCGAAAAACCAAACCAAACCGATAAAATAAAACCGATTTTACTTGGGTTTGGTTTGGTTTGGTTTTAGATTTTTGAAAACCGATAGTATTTGGTTTGGTTATGGTTTTATTCGGAAAAAACCGAAGAAATAACCGAACCGAACCGATGAATTATATACATATATTTTATTAATATACATACTTAATATATTCTTTTTATAAACAATTTTAAAGATCTTATACATATTTTCATTAAAATTTCTTTATAATTTACTTATTGAAAGCAAAAATGCCCAAGATGAAACATTTATCTTATTGATTTCATGTATATGAGTGTCTATGTCAATTCTTTGTGGGACTGAAAATGTTATTGTCTCTTCCTTCTAGGCCAATATAGTGAATTTTAAAGCTTTATTGATAGTAAATTTAGTGATTGAAAGTTTAGTAATTTAAGTCATTCTAACTACTTTTCGTTTTGAATGGATTGTTGTCACTTTTTTCACATTTTAAATGAATTGTTTCTTTTATTTTTGTGTATGGTTAATAACCGAACCAACCAAACCGAAACCAATAATCACCAAACCGATAAATGTATATTATATTTGGTTTGGTTTGGTTTTGATAATTTTAAAACCGATTAAGTTGGTTTGGTTTTGGTTTTGACCAATAACCGATCCAAACCAACCCGTGAACACCCCTAGTCGAAACTAAACGAGTCCATAAAATTGGCTATTGAGTGCAATTGCTAAAGATGAAAGCTTTATGGGTTGGGGTTGGGCCATGCAAACCCATACCCAAAGGCAAAAGGCCCAAACACTTTAATTCAAAAAAAGTTCAAAACCCGAGACCGCCATTTGAGAATTTGAAACTGTACTAATCTCAAAACAAACTCTTTGTAATTCATTTCTCTCACATACACACAAAGTGTTACAAAAGGGAAAAATAATTGTGAATTTTGGAGTGTGATCTACAAGCTTAAGGTTCGTAAATCTTCAAACATAATCCATTGATTTTTTGGTGGTTTTTTTTGGGTTTTTTCGGGGACGTGGAAGGGGATTACAAGGAGGGGAAATCGAAATCTCGGGAATCAGGTAGTTAATCAACTAAACTACTAAGATTCTCGTGATTTTGATGTTTCTTTGTCTATTTTTGGTTTTAATTTGTGATAAATATATATTTTTTTAAAAATTAATTGAATGGTCTTGGTCATTCTTACTCTAAATTTGATTATTCTTATGGGAGAAGAACTGGATTTACTGTCTGTTCAGAGAGTGATTTGTTTATTTAAAGGATTTAAGTTGTATATCACATACTCTATTAGTTTAAAAGTAAAATGTTAGTGAATTGAACTTGAACTGTAATGTAAATGGATGGCTAAGATAGGAATTTGGTACAATGTTGATTAAAGGGAACATTTTGAGCTCAATTCTTTGTAGAATAGTTAAAAATCCAAACTTTCTGAGGTTGTTAAACTGAATTTAAAATTATTTCACATTCTAGGGTAGGCTGTGCCACACGGGAATTAGGGTAGTAGAGTTGTCTAGCTAATCCCTTCATATTAGTAGTGGTAGTATTACTCTTGTAGTTTCTTGTCCTTCTATTTTTGTTACCATATGTTGGTTTGTTGTACTTCGATTATTGTATTATTGATTTGTTATGAGTTCACCTCCGTTATTTCTTTTTCTGGATTGCTTTGGTTTGTTTTTCCTGGAGCCGGGGGTCTATCGAGAATGACCTCTCTACTTTTGAGGTAAGGGTAAGGTCTACTCTACCTTCCTTAGAACTCACTTTGTGAGACTACACCGGATACATTGTTGTTGTTGTGGTTGTTATTCTTGGGTAGGTGTTTGACTAATTTCAGATAGACAAGATACATAAATAAAGATTAAAAGGAAAAAGGAAGTATCCCATTATGGTGAAGTATTCATAAAACAAGTCAAACTTTAAATTGATTTATGCTCTCAGTTGAAACTTTTTTGTGATCCTTCCAGAAGTAGATGAGTTGTTCCATAAAATGAAGAAACACTTGTTCAAAAGATTAATCTGGCATGCTGTTTATTGAAAAAGACAGTACTTTGTTCAGCAAGACTACATTTTTAAATGCTAATGTTATTTATTTTATTGTTGTTAAATAAACAGGTTCTGTTGTCCCTGACATTAATATGCAAATGAATGGTCTTAAAGCATGTCAAACAGAAAACTTGCCAACCCCTGGAAGAGTGCAGCAGTTAGAATCCGCTGTGGTCACAAAAGTTAGAGTAATTGTTAGAGTTCGCCCTTTTCTTCCTCGAGAAATCAACTCGATAGATGGAAACCCAATCTCTTGTGTCTCTGTTCTCAACTCAGAATGTGA